CTCAGGTTTCCTGGGATTCAATTGAACTCTTTATTCAATTGTGTTATTACTTTTTTTCTATGGTGTTATTAGGAAATTTACATAATAAAAAAAAAAAAAAAAAAACAATTTACATAATACAGTGTTTAGAAGCAAACTGTTGCGGGTGAATCTTGCTATGTAGCTATTTACATAGTCCCAATCAGTAATGCAGGTCCTTTCACTCGACGTAGCAATATGCAAAAATTAAATCTTATGCAGTCTTACCAAATCTATTTACATAGACATGGTTATGTACAGAGAGCTTAGAGGAGTGAGTGAAGCATGAGTCTGACTTATCTCCGGCGGTTGTCCGTCTTCAGAAAGTGGAAATATTCCAGTTGCCCCATCTCTCCTCCGTTCACGGGATCAAAGCTGCATCTGTAAAAACTGAGCCCAAGAAAACACAAGTGAGCACTATGCGAAATCTGAAGGTTATTTTTATAGATGCACAACTAGTGTAATTGCTCTGTTTTAAGATTCTTGGTAGTGTGATGGAATTGTAAAGTGAATGGGCTTATTTGGGATTATACCTTCCATCCATGCCGATAATAGCAACCGTGTTGTTACTGCCAAATGCTGCGAAGAATTGTGTGACTTCTGATACATGAAACTGTGCATATGACCATTCCGAGCTGAAATACTTTGGTAGAACACCTGCAACAAGAGTCTACATGTTAGGTAAGAAAGAGAATGACTTTTCAAGGTTTCAAAGTAGCATTCCAAACACCATTCTTCCCATTCTACATTCATGAGAGAGATAATAAACAAGAGAAAGAATCATGTTAACAAAAATTTATAATCTATGCTACTATGAAGGGAATAAATCTCTTGGACTTAGAGCTACAACATAGTCAATATTCCCACTCCATTAGTTTTAGGGAATCAAGTAACCTTTTCTTGACAGTTTCATGAGAAAAGAATAAAAATGATTTGGTACTCTTCCTTTTGTTCCATGAGCAACTTTAAGAAAAATCAAGGCATCATATTTCATTACAGACATTGAATTTTTCCTTACCTCTCATAAACGACAATGACGAACCGGGATTGGTACCAGTGGTTGGAGAAACAATGCCTTGCAGAGAAGTAGAATAAGTTTGTTGTGTCAGGAGAGCTGCATTTTCAGTGGAATAAGAATCCTCCCCAACTAGCCTAACTCTAAGAGAGAAAATGTGAACAGTCCCCTTGTCGCTTGATACAGCCAGCCACTGCACGTTTGGTGAAAGTGCAATGCTATAAATATCTGCTCTGTCCACTCCTCTTCGTACCTACAAAGAAACAGCATTGAATTTGCATTTAGCATATGCATTAGTAACGATGCAGTGATCAAAGCAAATCAGCATTTCATATTCACCTCTTGCAAACGAGTTCCGTCCATAGTGTTGAAGATTCTAATCAGAGTTCCCTTTGTACTAGCAGTTGCGAGCAACAAACCATCCAATGTCAAAGTCATACACGCAATACTAGAATCATGAGCATTTATGATTTGTACCATGTTAAGCCCGAAATGTTCAACTCGAATCTCTCCTCGATGAAGACCGGGGCAAGCGAGCACAGACGTATTAGAATGATGAGAAAGGCAACATAATCCTCTAGGATTAGCTTGGGTTTCAATCTGATGAAGAAGTCTAAGGTCCATAAAATTGTAAACATAAATCTTATGTTCAAGGAACAACAACAATCCGATCTCTTCGTAATTTCACAGCACGAATCTCAGACCTTAATTGCAATTCACTAATGCAACGGGTCTGATGATCATCCCAAATTAGTACTTTGTTTGAAGGGTACTGAGAGTTAGGTCCACCACCTACAAGTGCCAATATATTGATTCGGCAAAGCATCTCTACAATTTTGAAACCACCGTTCTTTAGCTCACGCCTGAAAGTTTCCTTGAAAGGTTGACAGTTATATATACGATAGCCATGACTCGTTCCAGCTGCGAAGCAACTGGAATCTTGATTCCTACACACAGTGACCAACTCTGCTTCGTCGTTGTTAATAGATTCTGATTCTGAGCCAGAGGTGATGTTACTGCGGGAGTCATGACCACTGTAACCACCTTGTTGCAGGATTCCTTGGGGATTTGAAACAGTTGAGCTCATTTTTTTTGACACTGGACCTGACAGATCAAACAATTACAGTAACATAAGAATCGAAGAAAATCGTATATAATCTTTGATTCAAACATTAGCAAGGAGATAAACGATTCCTCACCAATCGGAAACGAATCTACGGGACGAGTAGGACGAGATCTACGGTGAAATATTGAATCTCCAAGGTTCGGATTTGAATGACGAACACGCTCTCTCCAGAGTTGCTGATTTCTCTCTGAATGATTGATTTCTCTCTATACCGGTAAGTTTTATCTTCGTCTAAATTGAATTCTCCGGTTTAATCTTTATTTTTCGGAATTTATCGTGTCGATTAGTAAACCAAAAAACGAGAAAGAAAATGGGCTTATTTAATGTCCAAGTGGGCCGCTAGCTATGGGCTAAGTAATATTCACGTGTCTGCGTTTATCTTGGATTAAAAAACCTCGTGCCGTTTTTATTTGGTGGAAGATACTGTCGTGCCGTTTTTTGGATTAATAATTTGGTTAATATACCAAAAATGGAAAATTCACTTTGGAGACAAAACAATCCATATTTGGAAAAAGGTGATTTTGTCTATGAAGGAAAAGTGAGAACCCCGATAACACTCGCTTTGTTCAATGCGTACACATAACTAAAGAAAGATAAAAACCACAGTTTCCGAGAGAGGGAGACATGGACCAATTATCACTTGATTCTGTTTTGCGTTTTAAGTTAAAGCTAATAATCTCATAATAATACACTACTATTTATTTTGGATTGTTAACTTCACCATTGTTGCAAAACTTTACTACTAATTACTAAAATAGCAAGTTGTTGACAAACCATAACTTTTTTGTTTTTTCTTGTATTTCATGGTGCAATTTTGGTAACTCGTTTTAACAAATTATCATCACTTAGAATTAAATTTCTTATAATCTCAATTTCATTGTAGCTAAAGTACTACTACGACCCCATCTTTACTTAAACAACTAGTCGTTATGTTCTAATTCATATCCCTTTTCACTTTCTACTAATTAAATCTCAAAATTGTAAAAAGTAGAGAGAAATCGATTCATTTCGTTTTGTAACAAAATAGAAAAGAATACAAGATTCATTCGAATCTTAAACTTGTAAATTTGAGTTGTTCTTTTTCGTTTCCAGATTTTCTATATCAATCGGTTTATGGTTCTTTTGTGAACGAGAGTGATAGATAGTGAGATTTGAGAGCCTAAAATTCTCACAACAGCTTTACCACCATAAGTTGCAATAGAGTTGTAAGTTTGAATTTTCATTAAAATGTCACACATTATTTAAAACCATAAGTTTGCAGTAATCTAGGTAACTATTATGTAGATCTTTTAATACATATGTAATATATATTATTTGTACTTTTTGGAGTACCACTCACCAAGAATTTGGGAATATTACATGCACAAAAACTCTCGATGTACATGAAGCTTACAACATGATGGGTTTTGGGAAATTTCTAGGGAAATTTAAACTATTGTTTTGTTACACGTAAAAAGATAAAACATTTTGTCGGTAACCACCGGCTTGACCTAATATAATTTCTAAACCCTAGTTCATATATATTGTTAATTATTTCATTATTTCGAACAAATGATGCTGTGATACTGATGCCTTTTCTACTTAATATATAAACTAATTGGATGATCACATGATGATAAATTATCCATATAATCTACTTGCTACGTTTCCATATATATATCTGCATTATTGCAGACAAATACATGAACCACACAAATACCTTTGAGACAATATTTAAATAACAATTCGAGATCGTGCACGATGTCTATACATTCTATATATATATATATATATATATATATATATATATATATATAGATGTGTGGTTGTTTATAATTATATACAACCTAATTGTTTCACTTTCAACTTTTATAAACTATTTCGTGTGGATATTGTCATCATATTGTTCATATGGATATCCACTTACTTACTTTTTTGGCATCATCGGTTCTTTAAAACTTAGTTCATACTTCATAGACGTACGGTTCAAATACAAAAAAACCAAGAATTGTATAGTATATATATATAATTATAAAAGCTGATACCTAACAATTATAAGCATAAAATATGATTTCAAGATGTAAATATATATCGTTTTTTAACCAAAGGGCGATGTAAAGTTGTAAACCATGCATTCCAATCATCGGTAACATACAAATTACAAGTACAGTACTAAAGTCTTACTTTACAAAATACGAATAAGGCAAGAACACGACCTCTATATTTACTAATTAATAATATCTCTCAACCCAACAAATAAAAAGGGAGGAAAAATGGATACATACATGTTCCTACATTGGTCCAAAAACACAAAGTATGAATTAGTATTTAAGAAAGACCATCGTCATGTATCCATAGTCGTAACCGAAGATTTTCATTAGAATGTAATATACTGTATATATATCATTCAAAGAAAGCTTAACATAATTAATATCCCCCCAAAAACAAGCATTAGTTTAAAATCTGACTATACCTTTAATGCAACCCTAACTAGTGAGTTAGTGGGTAGATTCACGTGGACATGACTCAATCCTAAACCATATATGGCTCAACGAGTACAGTTCAATTCGATTTGAAGTCGAATCATGTCTAGAATCCAGATGCAATATATATACTGATATATAAACAGATGATGAGAAAAAAATGAAAAAATTGTAGAAAAAGAAGGAGCTCCCTTCAGTCCAAACACAGATAAAGAAGGATCAAAAATATCTCCCGCATCATTCATACAGTCACTGCGGTTTAAAATTGATCGTTTCTCTACCACGAGTGTTTGGATGGATGAGTCGGCAGATATTTCTACCCTCTTCTTTTTCTATCCATGACTGGACTGAAAGAATCTCCTTCTATATCTATCTATTTTAATCTCGATTCATATATCTATCTATACTTTTGAAACAATGAAGGGCCACACTTATGAAAAAGCAAGTTGTTCTACAGAAGAATACATAGGCATGAGTTAGTTTCAAACACATGCACTACTTATTGCTTTAAATGAGCCATCGACAACTAGACAAAAATGTGACCAAGACAACTTCCTATGTACTTATATATTTGAACATTTAGTTTGAAAGGTTATTAATTGCATGTACTTACTTATAAATGCATCAGCAATGAATTAGAATGTCAACTAATGTAGTAAGTGTATATGAATGAACTTAACTTACAAGGTTTGGATATGGTGAGTGTTCTTTATGAAACTTCACAGAAAGAACCGCTTTACTGTACAAGTAAGACCACTGATGGGTCTTGTCAAGAAGAGGCTACCAAGAGAGAGACAAAGGACGAACTGTTCATCAAACATTGAAATCATAAAAACCATTTAATAATGCTTTTTTCATTAAAAATTAAAATTGGTTTGTAAGTGATGTAAGCCCTGTGCAGATGAACAGTCCCCGTAATAATAACAACATTAATAATAACTACTTGAGTAAATATATACCTAATAAGCAAGTATATATAAGCAGACAGGTCCAAAACATGTGTGAAAAGATTCTACCATAGTCATTGCAGATCATGAGAAAATAAATTGAGAAAATAAATTAAGAAAATATATAGAAAGACTTACAAAATAAGAAAATATATAGAAGACTTAAACAAACGTAATTTGATTTTACCTCTTAAGAAATACAAGCGTTGGACCGAGAAATATTCAGTTCTTTTTTCATGAGATCTCAGTTTCTGGAGGGTTTGTGCGAGAGATTGAAGTGCAAAATCAGAGAAATTGCATTTATGCCTTAGATTTAGACAAGTGGAAACCTAAAACTAGATAAATGAAAAGCATAATTCTTTTTTGTGGAAAAAGGAAAGCGAGAAAAGATCTGAAGCGAACAATGAATGGTAATATACTAATATATAGACCTTAATTAAGACAAAGAGAAAAAACCCTAAAAGCAGAGAACTGAGAAATCTTATCTATTCATGTACGAGAGATTAGATCTCAAGTAAGTCACAACTAATGGTAGATGTGATGATAAGACAAGAGAAAACCCTTACATGGATCTTGATGTTTCACACTCAGATTTAGGAGCTGTCTGAAAACCCTAGCTAGCTCTCCTTTCGAAATCTTCTCAACCCAATAGAAACTATAAGTGGGGACTGTAACTTATAGAAAAAGGTGAATTAAGTATGTGGATGTTGCAACTAGCAACTAGCTATTAGCAAGTGGTGGTTCAAAGAAGGGACAAACAAAAAGAGATGACGATGATGATGCTGAATGATTAATGATGATGATGGTGGTGATGTTGGGTCATTGTCTTCATGGGATTCAGGGAAAGCTAACTGTTTCTTCATATCTCACCATATCTTACATAAATGAGAGAGAAAGAGGAGAGACAGAGAGAGTAAGAGAGACAGAGAGCGAGATGGTGACTTGTGTAATTTTGTGTTGTGTGTTTCAGGTTTGTTTTTGGGGGATGATTAGAATTGATTTATGATGGGAGAGAGCCATCAAGAGGTTCATCAGCCAGCTTTTTAAGGTTCTTTAGTTTTCTTTTTGGATCACATTTAATGAGAGGTGGAAGAGCTTGAGAATTTAGATAATGTTTTTAGCTAATTAAGTTTTTTGTTTATACATGTTTATTTATTTCTTATTATTTAAGCATTAACGAGTGGACTGGAGATGACATACTAGTAGCTAGAAATCATATAATTGGAGACTGATGAGGATTATTAGTGTATAATATAATTGGTCCCGAAAAATAAGTATCGTTGTCTTTATGCATGCAAGAATCTCACAAGCTCGTGAACACAAATCCCATCTAAGCGAAGCGAAAGATAATATGAACATCGCAAGTACTAATTACTAAAAATTTCAAAAGTACATGGAGTCATTTAGTTTGACTTCTAAACTTGTTTTAAAAAATATTATATCATGTGTAAATGCAAGTTGTGTCATCAATAGTTGTTAATTTATTTTAGATTTGAAGATCCTTTACTAATGTTCGAATACACACCATATCAGTTATTCTTTTTATAGTGAATCCTATCATCAAGCTATTCACAAGTTAAGCCATAAAAAACAATGTAAGATTTTTCTTCTTTTTTAAGTTTCAATATAATAATATAAGATTTGGTCTATGCCTCTATGGTTTGATACTTTTGGTATATTTCTCTATTTATGCGTGTGTTTTTTTTAGCTTGACCATGTTAAATTGCTAATACAGTATTCTCTATATTGTTCCAAATTCCAATTTTATTGAATTGGTAGAAAAAACTTTAGGCTACCTTTGATAATATTATTTTAACTAGTGTAATCAATTCAATAATATTCTTTTATCAGATTTTTTTTCTAAATATAAATTAATATAGTAAAAAAAAGAAAGTATAGAGATAGAATTGTAAATGACAATTTTACCCCTGCCACCCTGTCATCTGC